CCAGCAAAGCAACCTAACAGCGATGTGTAGAAGCATATCTGAAAGCATTCCCCTTAAGATTCAGATGAAAATCCAGTTGTAGAATTCTGCTGTTCTCGCAGTCGTAGTCGCATTCGCGATGACAGTCGCAGCGGCAACGGCAGTCGCAGTCACAGCCTCAACCTCAGCCTGCCTCAGCCTCAGCCTCAGCCTGCCTCAGCCTCAGCCTGCCTCAGCCTCAGCCTCAGCCTGCTTCAGCCTCAGCCTCAGTCTGCCTTCAGCCTCGGCCTCAGCCTCAGCCTGCCTCAGCCTCAGCCTGCATCAGCCTCAGCCTCAGCCTCAGCCTGCCTCAGCATCAGCCTGCCTCAGCCTCAGCCTCAGCCTGCCTCAGCCTCAGCCTCAGTCTGCTTCAGCCTCAGCCTCAGTCTGCCTTCAGCCTCGGCCTCAGCCTCAGCCTGCATCAGCCTCAGCCTGCCTCGGTCGCAGCATCAGCCTGCCTCAGCATTCAAAATGTGGCCCAGGAACGGAGTTCTGGGAACTAGAAGAACACGAAGTGGCCTACAGTTGGCTCCGGGCATTCAAAATGTGGCCCGGGAATGGAGTTCTGGGAACTTGAAGAGCACGAAGTGGCCTACAGTTGGCTCCGGGCATCCAAAATGTGGCCCGGGAATGGAGTTCTGGGAAGTCGAAGAGCACGAAGTGGCCTACAGTTGGCTCCGGGCATCCAAAATGTGGCCCGGGAATGGAGTTCTGGGAAATCGAAGAACACGAAGTGGCCTACAGTTGGCTCCGGGCATCCAAAATGTGGCCCGGGAATGGAGTTCTGGGAGGTCGAAGAGCACGAAGTGTGTGACTGTTGGCGAAAAGCGAGCCCGGCTCTGTTCCCGGTTCTCCAGAATGTGGCCCGGGAATGGAGTTCTGGGAGGTCGAAGAGCACGAAGTGTGTGACTGTTGGCGAAAAACGATTCCCGGTTCTCCTCCCCGGCACCCGCCCAGACCCCCCTGAGGAGTCATGATGCTCTCTTTTGACCCTACTAGAAACCTATCAGCAAACGCTGTTAGGTAAAAAAGAAAGCAAGGAGAACAGGGAGAACGAGGGAGAGCAGCAAGGAGAACAAAGGAGGACGCGGGAGAACAAGGAGAGCAAGAGAACGAGGAGGCTAATATGCGTGAGGCCTGGGAGAGTTCGTGGCCCTGGCCATGAGCACACGCCCCTGGTCTTCGGCCCCTTCTCAGACGCCCCCCGCCCGGGGGGCGTCAAAATGCCCAGGCTGCGCAAGAGCTGCTGCTCTTCAGGCAAACGCGCCGCCATGGAGTGAGGATCCGTGGATCTGGCGCATGGGCGCCAGATCCACGGATCGGGGAAAGCACTCCCCAAAAGACAGAAAGCAGATGCCGCCTGATTTGGCGGCGGAGCGCGCCGATGTTGCATGGAAGCGCGACCCCGATGCTGATGCACGCGCCCGAATCTATGCTTGCGCTCTCTCGAACTCCACACCGGCTTTCTGCTTCCTCCGTCGGGGCCCTCGGGAGGCCCTCGCCCGGGCTCCCGAGGGCCATCAGGCCACTGGCCAGGGCGAGGAGCCTGCCCCGCCCCCCCCCGAGGCGGTCGACGGCTCCAGCGGCCCCGTGCGGACCAAAAGCACCGCGTCGGAGGCCTCTGCGTGCGTGCGGATCGGGGGCCCACCCTGACGTCCAACGCACTGAGCAAAAATCAGAGCGGCCCTCGCCCGGCCGGGGGGCCGCGCACTGAAACAAGCAAGACATCGCACCTCTGGGCAAGGCATCCACGTCGGCCTGACGGACAGGGTGCGCTGGACCCAGGACTGGTGGACGCGCCCACTCGGCCTGGCCAGGGTGGCCCGCGGCGCCCACCCTGGGCCCAGGATGGACACGGTCGAGACCGGTGTCCACACACCGCCGGCGCCAGGCAGTGCCCAACAGACAGGGGAGGGGGGGGCTCAGCCCCGCGCCGCGGCTGCAGCGGTGCCGCCAGCGCTCTGCTTCGAAGGGCCCGTGCAGCGGAGCCAGCCGCAGCCTGTGGGGCTCGTACTGCGCAGGGGGGCTCCCCGGCGAGGAGCCTGGCACACGGCCGAGCGCAGAGGCGCGCGAGGTGGGGATCGATCTATGGCCATCCGGGGAACCGACGTCCTGGGACCCCCGGGGGCAGTGAGCGTGAACCTACAGTGGAGGCCAGTCCACAAGAAACCTTCCACAAGAAACCCAACCCTGAGAACCCCAGGACGTCCATTGGTTTTTGGTGTGGGAACGTCACGCTTTCCACAGCGAAACCATCAAAACCCAAGAAACCCAGGGCACCCTGGAGGCAAGCAGGATGTTTCTTGGCATGGGTTTCCACTGCCCTAGGTCTCAAACGTCATCCATATCCGCCGCCCCCCGAGGTCCAGGAAGAGCGGCCCCCTCACGCAGCGGACACGGACACATGCCCGCCTCGGCAGGGGACGGCGGACGACCCCGCCAGCAACTGGAGCCCCGAGGAGGGTTCCACAGGGCCGCAATAGTTGAAGTCCCAATCGGCCTGCCCCGCCGGCCGGAACTCTGGTCGGCGGGCTTTGTCCTGCATGGTGGGCGTGCCGCGCATGCTGCCGTCGCGCGGCTTTCCCTCCGAGAGAGACTGGGCGTCAGAGGCTGCGAGTCGCCTGGAGACCCGATTTCTGGAACCCCAGCGGGCAATGGGTATGGATGAGTTTGGGCCCCGGGGGGCCCGAATATGTCCACATCCACCGCCTGCCGAGGTCCCCGAAGATCGATACCCCAGGCGGTGGCTGTGGATAAATCCCAGCCTCGGAGAGTTGGTCGTCGCCGCGGTCGCCCTCTCCCACCGCTTCCTGATCCCCGCTCGGCTGGTGGGGGGGGTGCAGACGATAAACCATCCTGCTGCGGCCTGCCCATGCTGCACTAGTTTTCCCAACGGACAAGTTGGCGGCACCAAGAAAGCAAGAACAGCGGAAGCGGAAGTAATCCCTGCCCCTGCGCTGATAAGTTGATAAGTGTTTTGTCGGGAACGCGCGCCACTTCGCTCACGCACAACCACCGAATTCATGTTGAACAACAATCTTCCAATTCGGAAATCACTGATGGCGCCGTGTGGTAATCCTTCATGTTTCGAAGCTAAGTCGGATTCTAAGGGTAAGTGATGATGTGGCGTGGGCACTCGTCATTTGCGGAGTTGGTGGATGGAAGGCTCAAACACATTGATATGGTAACTACGAGGCCGAAGCGGGAAACATGCGCTGCGATGCCAACTGCCTCTTGCTGGCTGACATGCAGCTTCTTTCGAGCTGAGGCTCTGAGGGGGCGCAGCTCTATTGAAGCGCGCCTGGCACAGGCGAGTAGGACTGCCTCAGAGGGAGATGGCAAGAGGATCGGGCCATCATCCCACGCGCAAGTGAGACAGTCTGGTCGCGAGTCCAACACCTAACCCGGAGGAGTAGCGAGCGCCTCCGGCGAAGGTGGCTCCTCCACTATGGGCGAGTCCAGCGGCGGCTGCTCAGCGGCCGAGGATGCCTGCGCTGGGGCGGTATGACCAGGGAGGCCGGGGAGGAAATGATGCGAGAGGTCTTCTGACGGGCCCTCGGACGCACTGGGCGCGAGCACATACACAAAAGCAGCTGAAGTGACCACCAGTCCTGGGAGAACTCGTGACGTCCGCCAGACAAAGCAAGCCATGGCGAAACAAGCGCCGCAGGATACGGAAATGAGGATGTTCCAGGGGGAAAGGGATTGGGGCGGAGAGGCTTGCTCCGAGGTTCGCTCGCCGCGGCAGCTAGATAGCATGCTCGTCCGAGGGGGGCACGGAGAGACGAGGAGAGGGAGGCACAACACACCTCAAGGACATAACCAGCTCCAGCCCGAGACCCAGGGGCCCACGCAGAGCCAATCACACGAGCCTGAGGGAGGGTCATAGGAAGCGCCATGGAGGAGGGTCCAGAGCAAAGAGGATGACAAGAAGGGGCCCTGGGACACACAAATGAATATACACAGATACAGTAATCGGCCTGACCTAAGGAACGATAAATAAGGAACGCAGCCCCTTGTTGTTCCAAGTGAGTCTAAGAAGTCCGAAGGAACACCAGGGGGCTCGCCGCCAAAAAGGTAGCAGAACGCACGCAAACCTAAGGAACGACCGAGCCCCTTTTGAAAAGGAAGTGTTCCTTATTCAAGCCGCTCACTGTAACCCGATTCTCAATATGTTCCCATATGTTCTGAGTTTTTGTCTTCCCCCCACTTCCCTTATGTTCCCATATTTTCGAGGGAATCGACGATTCATTGTGCCTGTGTGTTTGTGTCCCTCCTGAAAGAGAGGAGGAGGAATGACAGCCGCAGTAGGCGGAGGGGCGTGCTGCTCCGAGGGGGTCACTCCTGGACCGCCCGACAGCACCTCCTCTGCGCGGGGAGGGATAGCACAGGGAGGGCGGCCACGAGGACCGCTAGTCGAAGGCCCCGCGCGCAAGCACGAGCCATGGACCCGCGCAGCGGGGCCGCGCTGCCCCGCCGCGCGCGGGGAGAGGCGGGGTCTCGCCACCGCTCGGACGTCCAGTCCCCGTGCTTTTTGTTCGGTGCCGTGCGCGGCTTTCTCGCCAAATGATCCAGGATGCTCCTCGATGGCCTTCGCCGAAGGAAAAATGCACACGTCCGAGCGATGCCAAAGAGCAAATCGTGCGACGGCGTCGCGGATCGTCGCACCAGATGATGACGTCGGATTCGCGACCATCGACACTCGGGCGCGCTCCATCGAGCCAGAAATTAAGGAGGGCTGCCGCGGGCCGTGGGATCTGTCCTTGTAGTACACGTGGATCGCTCCTGGCTGGAAATCGAAGTGTGTGTGAGCGTCGAGGGCATAAATTAAATGGCAAAGAATCCGCGGGCGCCGCAGGGGATCTACAGCAACTGCCCTCTTTGCGTGGCGGCTCAAAAGCAGTGGGAGCCTGCCCCGCGGAAGCCCCCCCCACCCCCGGTCGGCCACGCACCCAGGGGACACTGCGACGGACATCGATCGGACCCCCACTCTGATAGCTGGAAGCCCGCGGGGGCGAGAGAGGTGGAGCGGGCGGGGGAGAGACGGGGAGAGGGTGGAGAAAGAGAGAGTGAGAGAGAGTGAGTGAGAGAGAGAGAGAGTGAGAGAGAGGGGGGAGAAGGGTTTGAGAGGTGGAGGGTGGACGCCAACTACACGGGCGGCAGCTCCATTTCTAAGCCACCTTGCCAGCAGGTGCCCCACGGAAAGTTCTCATCCCACGATGGCCCCCCCGGGCGCACAGACGCACCTGCACCTAAGGAGACTCGAAGACCGACGACGATCGATAGGCACCCAGAACTCTGAAGGCAAGATATCTTAATGTAACTGCATGCTGCAGAGGTCCACCGACCCTGTCCGGGCTCATCCTGTGGAGGCCTCCTGTAAAGTAGATGGGGAGGGAGGACCATGCCGCATGGCCGATGCATTGGCGATGCACCGGCGACGTCGGCGATGCATCGGCGCCGCCGGCGTGGAGAAACTCGGGCTCCACATCGAGCCGCATCGGGGATGCATCGGCGATGCGGCGCGACCCTCCGACCCCATCTGCTCGGACCCCGTCGCGGAAGCCTAGACAGGGCTCGACCTGAAAAGGTGTTTGTCGTTCCCCCCCGACAGGTTGGGGTCGTCAGACTTTGAGAACATAACTCCCGACTGGCCCACCCTGCATACCACGGCCGCCAGATCCCCAGGTCCACCTAGTGTCCCCCGAGTATCCCGCCATCCGCGCCACCGACGAGGGTAACAGCACTTCACGGAACAGTGCATAACGGAACAGAACATGACAGAACGTGACCGAGCATAACATGACATAGCAGAGAATGACAGAACAGAACATGGCCCGGGCGTTGGCAAAACTGGATTTAGCGGGACCCGGTTTAATGATGAGTACCGGGGAACGCCCCCCCGCCCCGTTCCGCTGACCGGAACTGCCCTTACCCGAAGAAGCACAAACTACGGCAGACCTGGTTGAGTGATTCTGGCCAGTTCAAAGGCTCCGGGGCCCTACCACCAACCGGGTCCCCTTGCCCAGGGTCCTGGCTGCACCCGAATATACAGCAACACGTGAAAGCATCAGCGCTGACGGCGGCGGCAGCTCCCCTGCCGGCGGGTGCCCGACGCCCGAGTCCGACTTCGGGGTCGGCTAAGAAAAACTGGCCAGGGCGGGGGGGGGGGAGTTGCCAGGGCAGGGGTAGCGCAGCATTCGGAAAATCGGAGGAGGAGGAGGGAAGGAGGGCGGAGGAGGATGGAGGAGGAGGAGGAGGAGGAGGAGGAGGAGGAGGAGGAGGAGGATGGAGAGGGAGGAGGAGGATGGAGAGGGAGGAGGAGGAGGAGGAGGAGGAGGAGGAGGAGGAGGAGTAGGGAGGGAGGAGGAAGGATGAAGGGAGGAAAGGAAGGAAGCAGAAGGAGGAGGAGGAGGAGGACAGTCGCCGAAGGTTTCGGTGGGGATCGCTCGAAGCAACATTATGTTCGCTCTGCTTCCGCCCTCCCTCATCCGATCCTCCCTCCGCCTCTGCTGCAAGACGATGCCAAAACGAGGGCGGCCCGCGAAATCGCCAGCGCACCGCGGAGCTCGAGCCCCGGCCCCGGCCCTGGGCCCGGGGCCGGTGCGCGCGAGCTCCCAGGCCCCGCCGGGGAGGCCGGCACACCGAGCCCAGGCGCAGGCCTGGCCAGGCCGGGGCGCAGACGCCGTCGCTCCCTCCGCCCGGGGTGGAGGGGCACGGGCGAGGCGGGGAGGAGGGCGAGCCCCAGACGGTGGAACTCCAGGCATGGGAGAAGGAGCCAGTGGATGAGGAATCCAGGGTCGGGAAGACGGTGGAACTCCGATCTTTGGAGAGGGAGCCAGTAGATGAGGGATCCAGGGTCCGGGAGGCTGGGGAACTCCGATCTTTGGACAGGGAGCCATCGGATGAGGGATCCAGGGTCCGGGAGGCTGGGGAACTCCGATCTTTGGAGAGGGAGCCATCGGATGAGGAATCCAGGGTCCGGGAGACTGGGGAACTCCGATCGTGGATTGGCCATGGATGAAGGAGCCCCAGGACACACAAATAAATACACACACATAAACACATGTTCCCATATTGTTGGGGTCTTCGTCTTCCCCCCCACTTCCCATATTTTCCCATATTTTCTGGGGACTCGACGATTCATTGTGTCTGTGGGCGTTTTTTCCTTCCTGAATGGATGCCACCGCCGCCCTTCTGAGAGAAGGGATCCTCCATGGCCTGGGGCCTCCCGGGCGCACTCCTTCACGAGCGCCCCCTCCGTAGACCGCGCCGCCCGAGGCGGAGGGGCGGGGCGGGAGGGAGAGGAACCAGCCCCAGACAGACTCGCGTTGCGACCAACACTGATAAGCAATAGAGGAAAGAGAACTATGCACATACACCGATTCTGGCCAGGCCCATCCTGAGCCCAGGATCGGTACATACGCCCTCTACCTTGGCCAGGAAAGTATATGCACCGATCCTGGGTCAAGGATGGGCCTTACCAGGATCGGTGCATGTGTATAGTTCTCGTCGCCCGAAAGCAATGAAAGCACCCCCTGACCCTTTGGAAGGGGACCTGACTTAGGAGGCCACAAGCAGCAGGGATGCAAGGGGTCCTTTCTGCAGAGGTGTAGCAGACCAAGCCGGCCAGATCGATTCGCCCGGATGCGAGGGCGGGGACCGAAGTGGGGCCGCGTCTTCATCGTGTTATGAGGGCTATAGGGGTTCTCTTCTGTTCTCGATGAAGCACCTGCTTTTTGTCAGCGGCGAGAGCCGACAACAGCGCGTTCAGATAGCCGGCGTGCCGCGCCGGGCTGTGGGCACACTTCGGCGACGAGCGAGGGGAGGAAGTGAGAAGGAGAAGACCATCTCGGGAGGCGGGACTTCTCCGAGGCCCTCGCGCCGTCTGGGAAGCCTGCGCCTTCGGGGAAGGCTCAGAAAGCGCCTCGGAAGCCCTGCGGACATCCGAGCCTTCCGAGAAGGCCGTCTCCTTCTCCAGGGGGCCACACATGCGAACCCTGCCCCCTACCCCCGTCGATTTCCGAGGGGGAGGGGTCGGGTTCACACTTCGCTCGGGAGCTCCCGAGCGAAGCGAACCCCACCCTTCCCCTCGGAAATCGTGGGGGGGGGGAGGGGTCGGGTTCCCAGACATGCGACGTCCTGATTTTTTCTGGACGGCGTCCCCGGAAGTCCCGGCCCTTTCCCCGGGGCCGGTTTTTCGTCCTGAGTCGTTTTTTGACGGTCCCGAGGCCCGGCGAGGGCCCCCCGAGGCCGAAAATATGCAAAAACCTCCCGTCCTGATTTTTTTACGACGCGATCATGTCTGGGTTCGCATGTGGCCCCCTGGACTCCCACATCCCCCCCTGGGGCCCGCCGCCGACCCCCCCGCGGCCGCTGGCGCAACAGAGGCGGGCGGCCGCCGAGGAGTCGGGAGCGGCGGCGAGGCCTGCAGGGCACACGCGGAGAGCCTCTGTGTGCTCTGACGCGCGCGCGCCGGGCGGCCTCGGGCACCGGGAGCCCCAGTGCACGCACGGGTGATATGCCGAGACAGGGCGAGCTGGGAGCAGGGGATCGACTATGCAGAATCGATGTACCCCAAACTGGGCTCTCTCGTCCAGAATCGATGTGCCCCAAACGGGGCTCTCTCTCGTCGAATCTAAGAAGACTGTATGCACAAGTCTCAGTATAGATTGAGGAGCATTCGAGGTCGTCGTCGTAGTCAGATTCGAGGGGGGATAAAGTTTGGGGTAAATCAATTCCGTGGTCGATGCCATACTCGAGAGCTACCCAGACCCCCGACGTCAGGATTTTTTCGTCACGCCGTCGACACCCCCCCCCGAGGTCTCGACCCACTCCCCGGGGCCGGTGTTGCGTCCTGATCGAGTCGTCTTCCGACGGCCCCCGAGGCCCAGGGCACCCAGAGGCCGAGGCTCTGGCTGGCAAGACCTCCCGCCGCGATCTCGTCATGACTCCCGGGGGGGCCCAGGGGGGGCCGAGGCAGCGCCGGGAGCGCACCGCCGTCCTCGCATGGGCGGCGGGCAACATGCCGCCAGAGTTGGGGGCCCCGCGGGCCTCCGAGGGGCCTGGCGTTCTCTCTCTCTCTCTCTCTCTCTCTCTTGTGGCAGGGGATCTAACATGTCGGCCTCTGTCCCGGGCTGCGTGGCGCTGTCGAGCGGGCCAGACAAGTGGGGCCCAACCCTGGGATGCACAACAGGGGGGCGCCCATCCTCGATATAGGGCGCGTCCGACGTAGCACCCCCCCCACCCTTGAGGCGTATCCCAGGCTTTCCCCCGTTTTCCGAGCGGCCAAACTTTGCGGGCGGACCTACTCTTGTGGATGTCACGACAATGGACACCCTAACAGTCCTACCATTGAATGTAAAGTGTGTTTGAAATGTAGGAACATGTTTTTGCATGTGTTAAAGTGTGTTTAACACATGTTTTAGACATCTGGAAATTATTTGGCAACATGCTTCCTCTTCGTCGATCGTCCTCCGCAAGCCTACTCTTAAGTCGGGCCTGTCCCCCTACAGGGGGATTTTCGACGAAAAATAAAAAATACCCAAAAAAAATCCAAAAATAGTCTGGGGACTATGTTTTGAATATTCTTTGACCTTTTGGGGGTATTTTGGGGGGGTATTTTTACTGTTCGTCGAACATCCACCTGTAGGGGGACAGGCCCGACCTGACCCTACTCGGGGATTGGGGGAGAGAGTTCGCCCGTGATCCTGGGCGCCCCTCCGGGGCCCCCCGCCCAAGAGCTCGAGCGCGCGTGCGGGCGGGGCGGGCGTTGGGCGTGGCTTAGTGGGGGGGTCATCAATGGGGGGGTCAGAAACGGTCCCCTCTCGTGCCCCTTTCGGGCCCCTCTGGAGCCCCATGGGGGCTCGTTTAGGTACCGTTTGGGTACCTTTTCGGACCACCCGCGACACCCCCCCCAGTTAGGACCCCTCCATTGCGCAACGCCCAACCCGGGCGGGGTGCGTGCGGGGGGCCCGGGCGGAGGAGGGCCCGAGCGTCGGAGACCCGGGGCACGGAGACACCCCGAGCGCCTCGCGATGCCTTCGGGGCGCGGGCCCCCGGACCCTCGGGAGCCCAACGAGGACGAGCTATACGCGCCCAGGCACGAGAACGAGCACGTCTCGAATGTTCGCGAGGCCGCCCCCGCGTCACAAACGCTCGCGCAAGATGCTCTCTCGAAGCACGTGCGCACTCGTGTCCGCGTACGTCGCTGTTTCGCTCCTGAGAGACCTCTCGACCATATTCCCCGGAACTGGTTCTTCATCCCGAGCCGCTGCTTGACGGTCCGGAGCCCCGCCAGGGGCCCCGAGAGATCGAAAACTACGAACAAACACCCGACTCGATGTTTTCGAGACGCGGGCCCCCGACCCCTCGACCACTTCCCTGGAACCGGCTCTTCATCCCGAGCCGTTGTTCACCTAACAGCGAAGACTGATAGGTTTCTAGTGGGGTCAAAAGAAAGCATCCTGATTCCCCAGGGGGGTCTGGGCAGGATCCGGGGGATGCCGGGGAAAACCGGGGATCCGCGCCTGATATGGGGGAACTCAGTCGGGGGTGCCGTGGGTGCCCGCCTGATATGGGGGAACTCAGTCGGGGGTGCCGCGGGTCCACGCCTGATATGGGGGAACTCAGCTGACGGCTGCCGCGGGTGCTTGCCTGATATGGGGGAACTCAGTCGGGGGGGCCGCGGGTGCACGCCTGATATGGGGGAAGTCGGTCGGGGGTGCCGCGGGTCCACGCCTGATATTTGAATGCCCGAGCTGAGGCAGGCTGAGCCCGAGGCTGGCTGAGGCCGAGGCAGGATGAGGCTGAGGCTGAGGCACGCCGAGGCAGGCTGAGGCTGAGGCTGAGGCAGGCTGAGGCTGAGGCAGGCTGAGGCTGAGGCTGACGCAGGGTGAGGCCGGGGCAGGCTGAAGTTGAGGCTGAGGCAGGCTGAGGCTGAGGCAGGCTGAGGCTGAGGCTGAGGCAGGCTGATGCTGAGGCAGGCTGAGGCTGAGGCTGAGGCTGATGCAGGCTGAGGCTGAGGCAGCCTGAGGCTGAGGCCTGAGGCGGAAGGCAGCTGAGGCTGAGGCTGAGGCAGGCTGAGGCTGAGGCTGAGGCAGGCTGAGGCTGAGGCTGGAGGCTGAGCGAGGGGCTGAGGCGAGGCTGAGGCAGTGGCTGAGGCTGGCAAGCGCGCTGAGGCTGAGGCTGAGGCCGAGCAAGCCTAGGAGGCTGAGGCTGAGGCTGCGGCTGAGGCTGATGCTGAGGCTGGCTGAGGCTGAGGCCGAGGCTGTGGCTGAGGAGGCTGAGGCAAGCTGCGGCTGAGGCAGGCTGAGGCTGAGGCTGAGGCTGAGGCTGATGCTGAGGCTGGCTGAGGCTGAGGCCGAGGCTGTGGCTGAGGAGGCTGAGGCAAGCTGCGGCTGAGGCAGGCTGAGGCTGAGGCTGATGCAGGCTGAGGCTGAGGCTGAGGCAGGCTGAGGCTGAGGCTGATGCAGGCTGAGGCTGAGGCTGAGGCTGAGGCAGGCTGAGGCTGAGGTCGAGGCAAGCCGAGGCAGGCTGAGGCTGAGGCTGAGGCTGATGCTGAGGCAGGCTGAGGCTGAGACAGGCTGAGGCTGAGGCTGAAGCAGGCTGAGGCTGAGGCAGGCTGGGGTTGAGGCCGAGGCAGGCGAATCCTTCGGAATCGGTAGGATTCCCTAGGAATCCTTAGGAATCCCTAGGAGTCCCTAGGAATCAGGATTCCTAAGGATTCCTAAGGCTTCCTAAGGATTCCTGTGGATTCCTAAGGATGCCTAAGGATGCCTTAGGAATCCCTAGGAATCCTTAGTTTTCCATTGGATCCTAAGGCTGTTGCCACTGCGACTGTCATTTCGAATGCGACTGCGACTGCGAGAACTGCAGAATTCTACAACTGGATTCTCACCGGAATCTTAAGGGGAACGCTTCCAGATATGCTCATTAACTTATACACATCGCTGTTAGGTTGCTTTGCCGGGATAATTCACGGTCCCGAGGTGCGCCAAGGGCCGCAAGAGGCCAAACACAATGGACAAAAGGCGCCTCGATATTTCAGATGAGGGCCCCGAGAGGCCGAAAACTATGGAAAAAAAACGCCTCGAGTTGTTTCAGAGAAGGGCCCCGAGAGGCCGAAAATCCAGCTGTCTGGCCACGCGCGAGGGGGCGGGGAGCGCCTCGGCCGCCCCAGCGTCATCGCCGTCGGGCCCGAGGGACGTCGCCGGTGGGCCCGCTGCTGGGCTCGGCGCGTCGTCGCCGACGGCCCCGCCGACGAGCTGGGGCGCCCTGGCGCCGGTGGGGCCGCGCCCGCGCTGTCGCCCAGGGGGGGCTGTCGGGCGGGCCGAGGGCTCGGGGCCTCTCTTCCCGCAGGGGCCCCAAGCGAGCCTCCGCCCCGAGC